ATTTTTTTTTGTTTTCAATTTCCTTGTTATGACAGGATAATTTTTTGTTCCTCTGACATTCTATAAGTCATAAGAAGGATCAGTTAATGAGGACAATCCAATAAGATCTATTAGGAAGAGTATTACGATACTTTATTACCTTTTTAAATATCTGATTCTATAAATGATCTTAACATTATTAGTTTCAAGATTCCAGCAAAATGCAATAAAGACAAATTATCTTGAATCTATAATAATCGCCCAAATGACTTTTTAGCATGAAGCATTTCTTCCTATTTATTTAAAGCTATATTATATAAAGTTCTGAAAACAATAAAATTCTTCGATGAATAATAACAGTATGTTCAGTTAGACCCTTGCGAAGATTATTTTGAATAATTTTTTTTTTTTAGTTTTATTGATAAAATTACTAATCACGTGGGAGATACACCAATGACATTTAACTCAAGATGAGTTTAAATTAAAAAAATCATAATAGTTTGATAATTTATGTTTAAAAATATTTAAAACGAAGTAATGATTTGAATTTTCTAATTCCTCAATAAATAAAATAATTTTAAATGTTAGAGAAAATTAAATGTTACAAAATGATTGATTGAATAATTCAAGTAAGGGGTATAATGCCTTTGTAAAGGAAATAGAAATTATGAACTTTTTAAAATATTATTAAATAATTCATGATTGAAATATATAGTGAAGATAATTTTTTTTTTGTCAAAGAGATTTTAATATATAATTTCGATTTTCGACCTAAGTGTTTTGCCCCTATAACCTTTGTTTTGCTTTTTTTTAAAAAAAAAAAAATGTTTCATGTATAACGTTTGCTGGGCACCACCTATTGCCCAACAGTATCCAGGCGGTTCTCTTCCAAGAAGTATTCGGATAATCTTCTTGTCCAGCTGTATTCAGATATTCTTGACCAGCTGTGTCAGAATATTCTTGATTAGCAGTATCCGAGTATACTCCAATTTCTTTACGGATAATATTATTTTTCTTCTCGGATACTCTTCCCTCTCGTCCAGAAGTTAGTCGGTACATATAATTGCAAGTATACTTTTGACCTTCTGTGAAGGTTTATTATTGTACTTGTGTGTCATTTTATTTAAAATTGTGAATTTAAAAGGGTTTACAAAGGTATTTTTATGATTTTTGATGGTATCTTTTGTTATAATCTAATACTTTTTTTTTCGATGGAAGGGTTTTTCAGAGTTCTTTTATAATAAAAAATTTTTTATTGTTTGTCATAAAAATAATAATTTGGTTAATTAAATGTTACATTGACTTATATTTTAATTCTTTCATGATTATATAAAAAACCGGTAACACTTATATTGCATAAATCAATGACAAACGTTCTTCACGTTCTAATTGTTCAGAATAATCATCGCAAATCCATTAACCAATCCTAAAACGTGATCAAAATACGAATTTTTGATCCTTTTTTTAATAATAATGATAATAATGTAATAATGACATGCCGAAAACTATTTTTTATTAAATCAAATCAGAAAGAACTTTTTGCTGTTGTTGTTGTGGGAATAAATTTTGCTGTGAAAGAAATAAAGTTCATCAGCCAAATAACTATTCAAAATC